TGTAGCATAGCTTTTTTGGAGAAGTACAGAGGAGAAAAAATGTCATTTTTCTAGATGCAACCTAAAATATGGTTGAAGACTCTGGGTGACTTGGCTCAGAATTGATCACAATGGCATCGGTGTATACATTCTTTGTCTTCCCTTAAAGAACGAGGTTGAAATTACTTTATATCTTTCTTTCTACCAACTAATTCTTTCTTTCTGTACTATATGCAATCTTTCTTTTATATATTACTACCATTGAGGTAACCACTTCTATGGATTTGGTGTTCATCTTGTTGTGCTAATGAGGTATGGCAACTTGGACCGATGCATATATGTGCGTAATCTTATGTTGTAGCTGACTGACTGAACCTAAAATATTTTTAGCGTCAATAGGGAAACTTTAGGTTATTTACATCTTTGGTATTCATGATTTAATTTTATGCAAACAAAATTGTTGAGATGAAAGATGTAAAATGATGTAGCAGAAAAGTTGAAGGCACGTAGGATTTTATTTGATATCCATGGCGAAACTCTAATTTATGGACGAGCCAATAAGAAGCGTTTTAGAGATGTCAAGGTTACAGCGCCAACTTCAGTGCTTAATGCTAATGTACGAACGGTTCATAGGGAATATTTTTTGGAAAACGTGATAATTGAGCGGTTATAACAAATAAAACAACGAAACTATAATTTGTGGACGAATCAATCAGGTATAAGGTTAATAGATCTCGGATTTTAACGCGAAAGCCTTTCATTATAGCTGATGTCAGTTCGTGATGAAAACCCCATATATAATTCCTAACTATGACAAATTATAACAATTATTGCGAACTGGATAATAAAAGCACCAGTAACACTGTTTGAAGCCAGGTACTACAACATATATGGATGTTTGGGGAGCGTACAGACTCATACATAGGCTTGGTTATGTGCGTCGTGTCGTTATCCTTAAGTAGCATTTTGTGTACTCAACAACCAGAGTGCACATAAACAATATTGAAGCTATGTGGTCGAGGCCGAAAGAGTATTTGAGACTTTACCATGGCTCCATAGGCCGACTATTTTGTAGCTGTATGGATGATTTCCTCTACTGCATGCATTAGAACCTCTGAACCTCTTTCTAACCTTGATAAGTTTTTGAACCACGTATAAGAAGTATATCTAATTTATTTCTTTGGTTTTGTATAACATATTATTAATCTATACTGACTGTTTGCTGATTGTCTAATTCTTCTCAAGGTCACTTAAGATTCGTTCAAAAGTCGTCCATAAATTAGAGTCTCGCCCAATTTCTTACTGTTTAGTAAGAAATACTATCTAAGGAGATATTTAGAAGATCTTCATTCGATTTCGTAACGTTATTATTTTTAATAATTTAGTGTCCAGGTAAATGGTGACTTCCATCCATATATCTAATAGCCATCAATAAACTCTTGATAAGATATCAATATAAAATACATAAATAGGAAAGTAAATTGTTTAAATATTGTTTAAATAGAATAAATCTTTTCATATCAGATAGGTTATAATTGAGCCTAAATAATTCTACATAATCTCTATAAAGTTTGATAAAGAAACTAATGGTCATATTGGTCCAATAATAAAGTGTAAAGTTTGTTCTCATTTTATATGTGTAGTATTCAATAAGAATCAATTGATAATCTTGATACAATAAGCTTTTGCTTAGGTTCATTTTGGATTGTTAGTTTTTGCTTATTTCTGAAAAGAGTTTATTATTTTTATGGTGAAAATTCAGATTAACATTGATATTTCTTTGATCCAATTAAATTAAATTATAGTAAATCTAAATTCAGTAGTTGGTAAGATTTTTAAAAAAAATAACGTGAAAGGAATTAGTCTGTTAATGAATTGACTCATGTACTCAACTATTAAATTACTAAAATATCTATAAAACCCCTTAGTGATAATAACCATCATATGCTTACTAATGACTGGTTTCAAGAAGTATTTCCTGAAGTTCTAGTGAGAAGAAGTGACCAGTGGAGTTCAACCGGGTCAGTTGTAAGGTAGTAACTCACTGATGACAATGGTGGATGTGTCGCTCAATTTTGTGAATTCGTCAAAGTTAGACATTAACACCGTTGGATGCCGACCGGCTCAGTGGTCTAGTGGTTAAGCGCTTGCGCGCGAGACTGACAGGTCCTGGAATGGTTGGCCTGCACTTTCGAGGAACGTGGATTTGCACTGCTAACGAGTTACATAATAGGACGAAAAGACCGTTCAGTGCTTCCAGGTTTTCCATGGTGGTCCAACTTCAAATGGATCATCGACTGAACAATTGAAATTGCCACAATATCCGCAAAAGCCATTTCTAATAATAAATTATTCTCTGTTTTTGATTTCATTAATAGTTATTTGCCTGTTCATGTGGATATATTACAGAATGTTATATGATGTTATTAGAAACTCTTGTTATCAATCTTAACGAATAAAAGAATAATTTGTTTCTATATTTCTGAATGAATCAATATATAATCATTTTAAGTAATTCAGTCAATCAGTCAGTCAGTAACAACGTAGAACTTCGTACGTATGTACATCATTTCGAGTTTCCATACCACATTATCACAGAGATGCAGCGGTCGATTCAAATCCCGTAGTGGTAGAGGTGGTAAGAGTATAAGCAGTAATCGGAAAGATGTTATTTAAAGAGTATAATCCAGAGAAATAAATTTGGAAAGAGAAAAAAAAGAGACAAGGAGGAATAAGGAGATCAAAATTTGGGAGAACATAAAGAGTGGATGCACCTGCGCCATTCCAAACGATTTTGAGCCATGTCATTCAGGGTCTCTAACCATCGGTTTCTACCATCTCACGGATCCCATCCAGGTAGTCTACACCTACCAACATGACACAATCCACTTGTCAGTGACTTTATGGGTTTATGTCATGTGTTGGACTGGCCGCACCTAGCTTTCTTCCAACCTACTCCTACACCATGAAACACCACACATCGAGGCAGTCGGTCGTTGAGCATACGTAACACATGTCCCAACCATTTCAACTTATGAAGTTTCATCACTTCATCAATTGATTTGCCATCCTTACCTAGTACCCGTTTCCTAACAACTGCATTACTTACTCGGTGGTCCCAGGATATACGAGCAATATTTCGAAGGCACCTATGATCAAATACTAGTAACCTACGGATATCCTCTACTCTTACCGGCCATGTTTCACTGCCGTAAAGTAGGACGGAAAGAACTGCTGCGCAGTAAACACGTCCTTTGGTCGATAGACGGATATCTCGCCTACGCCATAAATGACGCAAGTTGGTAAGAGCTAGTCGAGCCTTCTGTATCCGTGCTGAGATTTCGTCACACACCAGACCACAAGGGCTGATGAGACTTCCAAGATAAGTGAAGCGGTCGACACACTCAACTACTTCACTCCCTATCACTAGTTCGGGTGTCGATGTAACCCAATCGTGAAGCAACATTTTGCATTTCGAGGGGGAGAATCACATCCCGAACATGCATGCATTGTTGCTTAGAGTGGTCAGAAGACTCTGCATTTTGTCAGCGTCTTCACCAAACAGAACTATGCCATGCGCATATTCTTAGTCAACAATTGAATCTCCCGGTAGAAGTTCAACCCCTGTAAATTTAGATGAGGAAAGTGTTATCTCTAAAAGCACGTCAACGACAAAGTTAAACAGGGATGGAGAGCGTGGACAGCCCTAACGAACACCAGTTGAGGTAATCAATTCTGATGACAGTTCGCCACAAGCTCTCACTCAACCAGTTGTGTTCGAGTAGAGAGCCTTTATAAGGTTAATTTTAAGTAATTAGACATTATCCAATAACAACCAACTGTATTCCAAAGCATATCCGATAAGAAAACGTTATATTCATATACACTTGGTGTTGTTTTACTTGTATCTTCCCATTGATGATCAGGACTGCAGTTGATCAGTCTCATGTTGGCATATGTGCATTCTGTGCGGATCGCCTCGATATAACCTTAAGTCACAAGCATTTTTAAGCAAAGATGGATAGTGGCTAGCAGTGGAATTCAGGACACACGTTTCGTCCTATTTGGGACTCGTTAGCTGGATGTACCTGCTTCCCAGAGCTGATGTTCATTTCGGGTCTCGAACCTAGTACCTTTCGCGCAACCAGGTGGCTATCAGGACTAACTGGGGACCTCGATGCCGTTTGAAGCAAAAGGACAAAACGCGCGTCTTTGATTCCACTGCTAGCCACTACCCATCTTTGCTTAAAAAGTTATATTCATAGTTTATAAGTTAGATTAGTGGTAGAATATCTAGATGGATGTTTAATTAAAATACTGAACTAATAAAATCATTTTAATAGAGGATTAACTTATTTGAATAAATTTTTATTAAAATAAAACATATTCGATTAATGGTAAAACTCTGTACATACTCAGTAATCTACTCGTCTTACAACTTAATAGTTCATGAGCATTTACGATTTCAGCAGTTTCTTTTTGGTCTATAAATTAACCTGAAAAATAAGATTCTTAAAATGATTACCATTAAAGAGGAAGAATGGTATTTGTAATATCTCAGCGAAGAATTTGAAGTAAATCCAACGTTTCACTTGGCAATCTGGTCCAAGCTTTTTCGAGAAGAATATCACCATTGTTTACAGATTTATTTAAATGTTTATATATATATATATATATATATATATATATATATATATATATATATATATATATATATATATATATATTCAAGTGTATTTGTTTTCTTTTATTCCATATTATGACTATTAATTTTATCCTTTTGATAGAAAACGCTCATTACATGACTTATCTTTAATTAACCCATTGAAACATTGACAAATATAAGTATACACAAAAATAATCATTGATGAAAAGCGAATATATTCGATAAAAATAACTTGGCTTTATTATTATTATTATTATTATTATTATTATTATTATTATTATTATTATTATTATTATTATTATTATTATTATTATTATTATCGTATTATATTGTTTGTCTTCCTTTTTCTTTCTAGTCTTCCTCGTTTTAGAAAAGATTTTTTTGGAGAAAAACAAAAATTAGCACGATGGCACTCGTTCTTTTATTTACTTTTTTTTCTTCCTGATAAACAGAAAATGGAGAAGGTAAAGAAAAATAGAAGATAAAATTATGTTTGATGAAATATGTTTGTTTTTCATGAATTAATATTACAAACTGATAAGATATATATTAGCTTACTTAACATTACAATAGTCGAGATCATGAGTCAGTTGAAGCTAGACCACCATGAAAAACCTGGAAGCACTGGACGGCCGTTTCGTCCTATTGTGGGACTTCTCAGCACTCCACATCCCTGATCCTGACTTGCGAGATTCGAACCCAGGACGTATCGGTCTTATACGCGAGAACACTTAAACTTTAGACCAATGAGTTGGCATCCAACTGTTTTAATGTCTAACCTCAGTCAATCCACGAAATTGAGCGACACATTCACTATTGTCATCAGTGAGTTACTATTTCACAACAGACCTGGTTAAACTCCACTGATCACTGCTTCTCACTAGAACTCCAGGATATATCTCTTGAAACCAGTCACTAGTGTGCATATATTGAATAATATCAGAAGGGGTTTTTATTTAACATTATTGGGAAATATTTTAATGAATTTTGGTGAATTATGGTGTATTTTATGCTAGTGAGATGAAATTATGTTTAGTTTAAAAAGTTGAAACCTAATTTGTTGTTACTTACAAGTAGTATAAATTATTTGGAAAGTGTTACTTTTTGTTAAATATCAAAATTGCAATTTTTACTTTCATGTGAGTAAAAATATTCAAGTTATATGTCAGTAAAAAAACTTATAATTTTATGCATTCCTGTGGTAGTAAGGCTGAATCCGAATTCGAGAATATGCTTAATGAAACTTTCTTGGTTTGATCGAAATCATGAACCGATCTAAGTTAGACCACCATTGATAATCCAGAAGCACTGGGCTGGCGTTTCGTTCTCGTATGGGACTCCTAAGTAGCGTCAGTTCACGATATTGCGCGACCATCCAACATTGTCTACGGTGAGTAGCTCCTTCACACACCAGTGGTTTTAGAGAGAAGTCATGACCAGCGGAGCTAACCCGTATCCAGTGTGAGACAGTTACCCACCGAAGGCAAGAAAAGATAATCACTAAATATCGTTGGTTGATTAAGGCCAGACATTAACACTGATTGAATGCCCGATTAGTGGTTCAGAGGTTGTATGTTTGCGTGAAACCAAGGATCCTGGATTCGATTTCCATTTGCGGAGTCGTTGATGAACACTGCTGAGGAGTTCAATACTAGGACGAAACCCCCATCAAGTGCTTTTAAATTTTCAGTTGTGGTCTAACATTGCCCGATCCATGGTTTCAGTGAAAGGTTAATATTGTTGCTCACAACACTCAATACAATAGTGTTTTACACTAGTTGAATATCTTTTGTATCATTGCAGTAATTTTCGGTGAAATTATTGCAATCTTGCCAATATTTGACTTACAAATTTAAAAAAAAATTCTATTTAGATTACGAGCATTTATTTATTGCTATTTGGCAAGGTTTAAATACACAAGTTAATTTCAATGACATTTTGAGGACAAAATAAAATAGAGGAAGACTAAGTGAAAATCATTGAATTCGGATTACCATAAATTAATAAATTATAACTTAATGTAACCAAATCATTTTGGTTGTAAGTTTATATTGGCGTTTAATATTCTTTAGCATGGAGACGATCGATTTTGGTGGTCTTTATAATCATCAATGACTTTGATAGTTTTCCTAATAGATTTCTTGTATACGATAGTGTAAGAGAAAATTCACATGATGATCCTTTTAGTGTGTATTATTTGCAACGTAACCCCTACAGATTATATGTCATAGATACTGAACACCTAAGTTTCACTAACATCTTTTATTAATCGAAGATACGACATATTTATCCATATTAGTGTTTTTTTTAATGAGAAACTAATATTGGGTTAACAAGATCAGTTTCAGTGGGAATATTATAGCAATTCATGTGTTTACAGAAATCAAATATTACTGTTATGATAAGTTATGATGAAACACAAAACAAGGGAGATTGATTCAGTAAAGAGATTGATTTTTTAGTAAATTCATTCATAGATCTTTGCAACTATCAATATACGCTGTTCATAATTATAACCGAGAGGATGCTTGTTGATACTAGAAGTAGTTTACTAAAAATGGTAAAATAAAAAGAACAAAAGAACATCATAGTTAGTAAATCATTGTTAGTATCAACAAATATTTTCAATTATCACTGTGTAAGGTGTATATCTGTGATCATGTCACTTTAAGGACGAATTTCCTGGGAAGGGATCTCGCTGAACTCTTTCTCATGCTTCACATTTCAGGTGATATTTTTCTCTTACACGTTAGAAAAATCATGCGTGAGCGGTAGTTAAAAGTCACCAGCATCCTAGAAAAAATTAGGTACTTATTCTCATTGGGGATCATTTGAAAATAATGACTCTTAAATATGATAGATGGAAGCATTATATTAAGAGTAGTTGATACATTTTGTTTCAATCCAATATCATATGAAAAATTTGATTTTTATCACAATGAGCTTGGAGAGATACAGAAATGATTTTCTAATATGAATGAGTAATTATTAAGAGTTGTTAAATTCAAACAGATTTGGAGTAATCAGCATCCTTCAAAACAAAGAATGAGGAAATTACAATGAATACGGAAAATTAACCAGGAAAGGACATCACAATCCTGATCAGAGACATCAACACCAAGGTCGTAATGGACAACACAAGATATGAAGATATCATGGGACGACATGGAGCGAGTGGGAGAAACGAACGAGAATGTTGAGAGATTTGCAAATTTGTGTGTATTCAACAAAATGATTATAGGTGGCACAATATTATTACACAAACGCATGCACGAAGCTACATGAATCTCTCTGCATCACATTACACAGAACCTGATCGATCATATTTGCATCACTTAAATATTCGAGTGAATGGAAGACATGAGAATCAGGAGAGGAGCTGACATAGCTCCAGACCATCATCTGGTTGTTGCCAAGATGAAACTGAAGCTAATGAAACATTGGACAAATGGGGAAACAATATTACAAAGGTCCAATACAGCCTTCCTTCGAGATACGGACAAACTCAACGAATTTAAGATAAATCCCAACAACAGGATCTAAGGCTTACAGGATCCATTCAAAGAAAGAGAAACTACTATAGAAGACAATTGGAAGAAGAGCAAAGAAGCACTAACTTCAGAGTCCTAGGAGGTGCTGGGCCGCAAGAGCATCATCACAAATAATGGTCTCTATCCAAACCACGGACAAGATTCAAGTAGGGGAGAACAATCAAACATTAATTAACAACAGCCAAGCAAGAACAGAGAAATTCAAGACACAAGATGAATACATTGAAGCAAACAAGCAAATGATGGGCAGCATTAAAGCTGACAAGCAGGAATACGTAGAGGAGCTAGCAAAAATAGCGGATGAAGCTGCAAGAGAAGGAAATATGAAACAACTATATGACAAAACGAAGAAACTAGCGGAGAAATATAGTAAACCGGAGAGACGAGTCAAACACAAGGAAGGCTAGATAATCATTGAAATTCGGGAGAAGAGGAACAGATAGGCAGAATACTTTAGGGACTCTTAAATAGGCCAGCTCCATTGAACCCAGCGGACATGGAAGTAGCATCTACAGACCTTCCCATAGATGTCACTTCACCAACGACGGAAGGAATTAGAATGGTCATCAGAAAAATCAAGATTGGTAAAGCCGCAGGACCTGACAATATAATGGCCGAAGCACTAAAGTTAGACATAGAAGTAACTGAAAATATGCTTCACACTCCATGCAGTAAGATTTGAAAGAAGAAGGAACAGTCCCGACAAACCAAAAGAAAGGATACCTCATCATGACACAAAAGAAAGGAGATCTGAGCAGATGTGAGAACTGCACAGGCATCACACTACTGCCGGTAGCTGCAGAAGTTTTCAATAGAGTGTTGTTGAACTAGATGAAAGATTGAGTAGACACAAAACCTAAAGATCAACAGGCTGAGTGACGTAAGGATCGGTCGTACGAAAACCAAATCATGACACTACGGTCATCGTTGAATTATCATTTGAATGGAACTCGCCACTATACATCAATATCCTTTGCTATGGGGAAGCGTTTGACAGTGTGGATGAGAAGTCTTTATGGAAACTTCTTCGAAATTATGACGTACCTGAGAAGATCTTCAACATCATCCGTAATTCATATGACAGAATACACTGCAAAGTTGTGCATGGACGAAAGCTGACAGACGCATTCCAAGTGAGGACCAGAGTCAGACAAGGTTTCTTACTCTCAACCTTTCTCTTCCTTCTGGTGGTTGACTGGACTATGAAAACCTCCACATCTGACGGGAAGCGCTGAGTACACTAGAAAGCTTGAATGCAACTAGACGACTCGAACTTCGGAGATGATCTGGTCCTTCTACCCCATACACACCAGCAAGTACAGGTCAAGAAACCAGTCTCAATATACGCGAGAGGTAAATCAAGAACCTGAGATACAACACGGAGAACACCAGTCTAATGATACTTGATGGGGAAGCTCTGGGTAAGGTGATAGCTCTCACGTTCCTGGAAAGCATCATCAATGAACAAGGAGGATCCGATGCTGATTTAAAGATAGGGGTTGGCAAAGTAAGGACAGCATTCCTACAGTTAAAGAACATATGGAACTCAAAACAACTGTCAACCAATATCAAGGTCACAATCTTCAATACGAGCGTCATGATGGTTCTGTTGTATGAAGCTGAGACATGGAGAACAACTACAGCCATAATCAAAGGTACTAGTATTTACAAACAGTTGTCTACAAAATATACTCAATATCCGTTGTCTGGATACCATCAGCAACACTCTTCTGTTGGAGAGAACAAACCGACTTTCAGCTGAAGAAGAAATCGGGAAAAGACAATGGAAGTGGATAGTACATACCTTACGGAAATCAAAAAACCTCAACGCGAAGCAAACCTTAACTTGGAATTCTGAAGGG